AAAAAAAAAAAAAGGGCTGGGCATGATGGCATACACTGGAAATCCTAGCCCTCTGGAAGGCTGAGGCAGGAATTGGGACAAGTTTCAGGTCAGTCTGGGCAACTTCCTGAAATGCTGTCTCGAAATGAAAGGCACTGAGGATGTGGTCAGTGGAAGAAAGCACTTTCCTAGAAAGCATAAAGCCCCGGGGTCAAGCCAAGAGGCCCTAAAAAGACTAAACCAAACCAAAAAAAAAAAAAAAAAAAAAAACAAAAACACCTCTGCTAGCCCAAAAACATGTTTAACATGTAAGTGGGGACTTTCAATCAGCAACTGGAAAACAAGGACCCCAACTGGAAAGTGCAAGAGCAAAACTAGGACTCCAACATGTGCTCCAACTCAGAGAGGCAAAGAGCCTTAAAGCACCTGCTCAATCAGTTCACAGCAACGGTGCGGAAGCTAAGCGTGAAGCAGCGCAGAAGGTCCAGCTGGCTACCAGACTACTAAAACTTACCTTTCATTTCAACCACATCGACAGGCACCTGTTTCTCTCGCATGCGGAAGATCTCAAAATTTGTGACCACACCCTGTTTATTAAAAAACAAAAACAAAGATGTAGTTGACATTCTGGGGATTCTTAAAAGCATGAAGATTTAAAGAACCTAACAATAAGGTAAAGATTAAACTCATGTGCCCAACAAACACACGACACCTGAAATGATCGTAGTCGTACCCTCATGAGAAAGCGGTTCCTAAAGCTAAGGAGAATGAAGAGGCACGGCTGTATTAGGCTTTGGCCATGGTCACTCTACCCAGAGGTCCTACATGCACACAAGAGCTCCCAGATACATACTGCAGCACACCAACCCAATTCCCCAGTGCCTTAGGCAGTTGTCAATGGCACCAAATGAATTAGATATAATGGAACCTCCGGCTCTGGAATCTAAGGCAGCACCTGGGCCAATGAGAAGGGCACAACTGCCAGTGTATGAGCAGATGAACATAACACTGCCCATCAGCAACAAAAAGAAACACAACACAAACGCACATATGAACTGTAAGGACACAAGTGAAAGAAGCCAGATACAAAGGGCCACAGACTGATGCCATCAACATGCAAAGTCCAGAGGGAAAATTCAGAGTTAGAAGGGTGAAGAGGGGAATGAGGGGCAGCTAGGGAGTTTTTTTTTGGGGGGGGGGGGAGGGGGAGTGACGGCAATGTGTGTGTGTGTGTGTGAAACAAAAATGTTCTGGAATTAGTAGTACCCACTGAATTACTTTAATAGTATGTGAATCAAATTAGCAAGTTCAATGCAGGAAGAAGAAAATCTCCATTAGAAGAAAAATCTAGGCAATTACAATGGTGCCTCTGTTCATGAACTTCTTTCCTAATTCTGGTCACAGAATTGTTTAATCAGAATTGTGGAAAGAATTAAGTTTGTGAACAGAGGCACCACTGTACTGATAAACAATAAATGATGAAAACAAATAAATCTGGTGCAGTACATGTAAAGAACGCTATTCTAGGTATTTAAAAAGAGAGGAAGGTGTCTGGAGATATTATAGCTCAGTTCAAAGGCTCTGGCTTCCATTCCATTGTTAAGAGGGAGGAGTGGGAGAGGGTAAAGCTCAGAGATTTTTCACTCAGAAAAGCAGCTATCCTCCTCAACTAGAATATGCCAAGACCTCTCAATCTGATCAGCTAACTGCTTTCAACACCAGGAGGGTCTGAAAATAATCCACAAACTTTAACAATAAAAAATACCCATTAATAGCTTCCAAGCAAAATAGTTAGTTTACAATCAACTTGAAAAACAAACAAAAACTTGTTTCCTTGGCATCCACTTACCTGTGTGCCTTTTGGAGTCCTGTCTACTTTAACACACAGGTAATCTCCGTTTTTCTGCCAGTGCAGCTTGCAGTCCACCACGTTGAAGAGATTCCTTACTCGGATCTCCTGTCTGCTGGGAAGCTGCATCAGGGTCACTCTGGCTGGAATATCTTTGTCTTCTGGCACCCAAAAGGCTATTATGTTACCACCAGGAGACCAAGAAAAGTCTCTGCAGGGCAAAGAAATAAAATGTCACCCAAAGACTGAATAAAAGTGAACAGCGGGGAAGAAGAGCAAAACTCATTTATTGTATAAATGCCCCATGTGGGCACCCTGACTCCGAAGCAGAGAGCTGACCACACAAGAGCCCTGTTCCTGGCAGTCTGCCTGCAGTTCAGCTGTCCTCATGACTCTGGGGCACAATCCCATCGTTTTAACAGTGAGGCAGTAGAGATAGATGTTATTAACTCTGCCCATTGTGCCATGGCAGAATGACCCAACTCTGAGTCACCACATACTCCTGCTACAAGATAAATTTTAGGCTGATGAGTCAGGTGCAATGATTCATGCCTGTAACCCCAGCACTCAGGAGGTAGGAGGACCACCTCAAGTTTGAGGCCAGCCTGAACTACAGAGAAATCATGTCTCAAAAAATTTTAGGCGAGGGTGTGGTGGCTCACACCTGTAATCCCAGCACTCGGGAGGCTGAGGCAGGATGATGGTTGGCTATAAAGTGAGCTCAAGGCCTGCATGAACTGCATAGAGAGACCCTGTCTCAAAACTACAAACAAAAAACCAAAAATTTAGGGTAATGGATCTAGTTGTATTACACAAAGATAAATTAAGAAGCTGGGGAAAACAAGTGCACCATCCTCGGGTTTACCCCAACAAGTGCTGCTTCTTTCTGGCTGCCTAACAGCTGAGTGGTAAAAGAGGGATAGCAAGTCAAACCACTGCAGGGGGTCAAGCATGTGCATCCCCAATATACACATGCTGAAATGCTAACCACCAAGACAATGGCATTAGAGGCAGCCTGTGGGAGATACGGAGCAGCCCACCTCTGAGGAACTCCTCACCAGATAAAGTCTGTGGGTGCCAAACCTCAGACTTCCAGCCCCTACATGGAGAGGAAGACATTTTGCTGTATGAAGCCACCTAGACTGTGGTGTTGTGTTACAGCACCCAGACACAATCAGACAATGATAGAAACACTCACTTACTTTATTCCAGAGATCTTCAAACTCTTCTTGTCCAAAAGACCCATTGACTGTGCAAAAGAAAGAAGAATATAGTTGAGTGCACAGTGCAAATGCTTCAATTGCACATATTTTAAGAAAAAATCTGCAGCACTGGGGACTGAACTCAGGGTTGCTCTAGCAATGAATTACATCCCAAACCCTTTACTTTGATGCAGTCATGCTAAGCTACCCAGGCTGCCCTCAAATTTGTAATCTTCATGCCTCAGCCTCCAGAGTAACTGGGATTACATACGTGTACCACCATACCCACTTATAATGATATAAATGGTTTTTAACATGTTAATGCTGCAAGTTTGCCTAGGGAACAACAGAAGTACCCAGGCTGACAGATGACCTGGAAGACAATCAATCCCAGCAGTAAAATGTATTCCTCTCAAGGATTTTATGAATCCCCAACCCTATATAATTCCTGCAGCAGCCATGGCAGGGCAGGCATGATTCAGCTGAATCCCACACTGAGGGCCAGAGCAGTGCAGGAAGCACACTCTGGCCTGCACACTCTAAGCTGCATTTCCTCTTCACTGCACCTCAAATCAAAGAGCAGTGCTACCTTCTCTAGCACACATACTGCTGGTTATGAGTGATGGACAGACTAGTTTGTCAGATCACTAAAATCACTCACAGGAGTTTCATAGATGCTAAGGGTGTCCATTGTCATTCTTGCAAAAAATTTACCATCATGGCTCCACCTAAGAAGAAGAAAAGAAGTTCCAGGAAACAACAATGAAAAAAGAAAAGGTACAAAGAGTCCACTGCTGTGGTCTACTTACTTGAAAATAGGCCAGTGTGCTGAGCTCTCACAGTGAAAACCTCTCTTCTTGTGCCCAGTAAGGATGTCCCAGATGACTATAGCCTGAGGGTCATCCTGAGTGTCCATCAGGGGGCTAAAGGTCACCAGGTATCTGTAAGACAGGGGCCCACTCAGCATAACCACATAACTCTAAATCTTGTATGTATAATATTCGTTTGTTTTATGCATGCCTAAGATTAACTTATAAAGTAAACAAGATAGGAAATCAATGATAAAGTTGAACAATTCTAACAATGTACTATAATAAAAGTTAAGTGAAGCCAGGCATGGTGGTGCATGCCTGTAACCCCAGCACTCAGGAGGCTGAGGCAGGAGGATTGCTATAAGTTCAAGGCCAACCTGGGCTACCTAGTGAGTTCAAAGCCAGCTTGAGCTACACAGCATGACTCTCTTCATTATGTGAATGTGGTCTCTCTCTTAAAAGAGGCAAGACATAAAGCAATGTTCTTGTGCTGTGGCTGATGGAAGGCGCTGAAACCTTAGAATGTGAAGTGGGATGGGGGAACTGTGACACTCCCAAAAGGCTTAGGGGAAAATGCTTACAGGGTGTTAAACAGAAGAAATAACAACAAACCCAATAAAATATTACATGGAGAATCTCAACAAAGAAAGTATACAGGATTGTTCTCGAAGTTTTCTTTTTTTTTTTGGTACCAGGGATTGAACTCAGACTACGCACTTGCAAGGCAGGCACTTATGCTGCTGAGCTAAATCCCCGGCCTCTCGAATTTTTCTATTAAATTTGAAATTAATCATAAAACAGAAGTGTTTAAAAATCATCTGCAGAAAACTGGCACGAGGCAGGAATAAAGAACACATCCACGTAATTGCTTCTCCAACAGCTCACCTCTCACAAGGCGAGAAGTCGATGAGCTGAACCCCCTGGTGGCTGAACCTCTGGATCTGTTTGAATTTCTCTCCTCCCCAAAGAGCAATGCCTCGCTGATGGAAGGTGGCCAGGTAGGTGCCCTTGGGAGACCAACGCACATATGTCTCTGTCCACCTCTGTGGAAAAGGAAGGTCAGCATTACCACAACAAAAAAGTCAGACACAGAGACCCTTCCTCTTCTACCGTGAATCTACTTTTCACATCTCAGAACTTATTTCAAAGCTGCATGTTGGGAGCTGCAGCCCCGAGCCCGGTCGCCTCACTTGGCGGACGTGAGGCCTGTAGTAAAGAGTGAGGCCTGAGGTAGATTACCCCTCCCATCGAATATGCTAGTTTCCTGCTTACCGCGTAAACAACCCGCTCAACAATATAGTCTGCCTGGCAACTGATGATGTTAGCCAATCAGCTTGCCTTGCTTACTTTAACATGATTGGACACTGTACCCGTATATATACTGGTGCCACCCCTGGGAGGAAGTAGAAGCCAGGTAGAAGCCCGAAAGTAGAAGCCCAGAAGGAGCTGCGGAGAGCGGACCGATAGAGGCTTTGGGGCAGACTAAAGCACAAGAGGAGCCGCGGAGAGCGGACCAAAGGAGGCTTCAGCTGGGAGAACCTAGGGCAGGCTGTACGGAGAAGAAAAATAAAAAAAAAAGGTTGTCCACTACCAGACTGTGTCGTGTGTCCTTCCTGCCGGCCGGGAGCGGACATCGACATTTGGAGGCCCGCCCGGGGACTGATCACCCCCGAGACGTGACAGTGGACAACGCTCCAGTACAGAGCTGCGAGACAGGTGAGTTGGGGATAAGCCTGGGCTCTGGGTGGCGCGCACCTACAGGGCTTTTAGACTCCCCTCAGGCTCACGCGTAAGTGGCGGATTCCTTGGGCCTCACGCGGTGAGTAACATATTAAAAAATGGGAAACATGCTAGGTAGCGGCACTAAGAGCGAGGGTGGTTGTGGAGAAAGCTCTCAAGAGCTTACAAAAGTATGCAGGGTATCTGAGCAGGCCCAGTCAGGGAGCTCCCGAGAGGGGTCCGTCAAGGGGAACAAGGATGCTAAGGAGGAGGACGGGGCTCTAGCCTCGGAGTCGTCTGACTCCGAGGACGAGGGAAAGTTAAATGGCAAGGAGGCCAAAGAGACTAGCTGTCAGGAGCCTAAGTCGCTCCATAAGGAGTCGGGTCTGCGGAAGAGTAGAGAGCTCCTGAGTGCGCCCCGACGCGAGAGGGAGGCAAAGCCTTCCGCCCCACCTCGGGGGCCGTTTCCGGAGGCGATTCCTCGCCACGAGGCGGCCGCCTGGGAGCCCCCCCCCCTTTCGTCAGAACAGGAAGTGATGCACGGGCCCCCATTTTCCGCCCAATCACGGCCGCTGTCTTATGCTCCGCCGCCGGCGGATCGGTATTTTCACAGGTGGCTTTGGCAGGGGAGACGCTTGTTTCATGAGGTACATCCACCACCTGGGATGGATAGTGACCCCTACGAGATATTTCCTGTACAAGTAGCTATGGGCCAGGGACGCAATGTATGGGAGCCTTTTGAGATAAAGCAGATTAGAGAACTTAAAAATACAGTTACAACCTTTGGGCCGACTGCGCCTTACACCATTGCCATGCTGGAGAATCTGTCTTCTGGGCCCCTCACCCCCGCGGACTGGATTCAGCTGGCGGGGGCGTGTCTGCCCTCGGGTGGTTACCTGGATTGGCGAGCCTGGTATGCAGAGTCCTCTGCAGAGCAGGCTGAGAAAAACGCCAATCGGGGAGACCGGGGGTGGAACAAAAAAATGCTTGTGGGAGAGGGTCGGCGCGCTGATGGTCAGACTCGGTTCCCCGGCGCTCTCTGGCGGGGAGGAGATAGAGAGCCATCCGCTCCGCCCTGGAGCTCTTTTCTAAAAGCGGCTCCCCGCCGAGAGGCCGCCACAGGAAACCCTCCCTTCCCTCAGCCGGCACAGGAAGTGACGCCCCGTTTCACTCTGTCGCGACCGCAGTCTTATGACGTCGCGCCGCTGGGCAGACGGTATTTTCATGGGCGGCTACTCTGCCGAGCAGGCTGAAAAAAACGCCGGTCGAGGAAAAAGGGGGCTGGGGATTTAGCTCAGCGGCATAAGCGCCTGCCTTGCAAGCAGACAGTTGTTAGTTCGATCCCTGGTACCAATAAAAAAAAAAAAAAAAAAAAAAAAAAAAAAAAAAAAAAACGAAAAAGATAAAAATAAAAAATAAAAAACAAAAAGGGGGAGTAAACCCTCGAGGTTTGATCCCTGGTGATGTTTGGCAGATGGACATCACACATATACAGGAGTTTGGGACTCTTAAATATGTTCATGTTTCCACAGACACCTGTTCTCACGTCATATTTACAACAGCAGAAACAGGTGAAAAAGTGTCTAATGTGATCAATCATTGCCTGGCGGCTTGGGCCGCATGGGGCAAACCAAAGATATTAAAAACTGATAATGGACCAGCCTATATAGACAAAGCTTTCAATGAGTTCTGCAAAATGATGGAGGTTCAATTAAAACATGGTATCCCATACAATCCCCAAGGTCAAGGAATCATTGAGAGGGCTCATAGAAGCCTCAAAGAAATTTTACAAAAACAAAAAGGGGGAGTAGGCCAAGGCCTGGCCCCAAAGGCACGATTATCCATGGCACTATTCACACACAATTTTTTAAATTTAAATAATGATAATCGCTCCCCAGCTGTGGAGCACTGCAACCCTTCCCCCAACCATAAAGGGTGGGTGAAGTGGAAAGATGTCCTGACAGGACAATGGATGGGCCCGGATCCAGTGGTCAGCTGGAACCGAGGCGCGGTTTGTGTTTTCCCACAGGAACTGGGACGAGAACCACTGTGGATACCGGAGAGACTGACACGGGCAACAAAGCCCTCGACTGAAGATCAGACCTGCCCTACTGGAGATCCATCACAGACCAACCAACAAGATGAATAGAAATAGCGGTAGCCCGAAATGGACAAAAAGATCCTCAGGCATATGCATGGCTTGCTCGATTGGCCCACGACCGAGTCTAGATATGGCGGGCATCCTTCATTCTCCTCCATAAGGTGACAATACACAGCAGGGTAGATGAGTCAATGACGGGTAAGAGCGTGCCTCCCCAGCACGACTCGACCTAAGCCAGGCCCTACCCCATCCTGCACGTAAGCCGCTGAACTGTTAGATGCTGCCCAGGTCTAAATTTCTCTCCAAGGGGATTTCTTTACGGAGAGGAAATGAGTGCAAGCTTGTGTGCATCCAGGTTCCGTCCAGTTTGTGCCTGGCCCTAGAAAAAGGACGAGGGCCTCAGGGCCTTGGCAGACCATGGGACGGCCGACCAGGGTCTAAGCCAAGGACCTACGGTGGGCCTACGCATAGGGCATAAGCCTCTGCACCCAGTCCAGGAAGGGCTACGATGCGCACATTCATAAAAAATAAAAAAGGGGGAGATGTTGGGAGCTGCAGCCCCGAGCCCGGTCGCCTCACTTGGCGGACGTGAGGCCTGTAGTAAAGAGTGAGGCCTGAGGTAGATTACCCCTCCCATCGAATATGCTAGTTTCCTGCTTACCGCGTAAACAACCCGCTCAACAATATAGTCTGCCTGGCAACTGATGATGTTAGCCAATCAGCTTGCCTTGCTTACTTTAACATGATTGGACACTGTACCCGTATATATACTGGTGCCACCCCTGGGAGGAAGTAGAAGCCAGGTAGAAGCCCGAAAGTAGAAGCCCAGAAGGAGCTGCGGAGAGCGGACCGATAGAGGCTTCGGGGCAGACTAAAGCACAAGAGGAGCCGCGGAGAGCGGACCAAAGGAGGCTTCAGCTGGGAGAACCCAGGGCAGGCTGTACGGAGAAGAAAAATAAAAAAAAAAGGTTGTCCACTACCAGACTGTGTCGTGTGTCCTTCCTGCCGGCCGGGAGCGGACATCGACAGCTGCACAAGGAATAAAGAAATAAAAGTTGTTCTCAGAAAGTAACCTCAGACGGAAACACTCTTATTGCTCTTTTACTAGCTTCTCAAATAGTTTTTCTCTCTTAAAGAAACAGAGAAGAGGTCAGTGCAACAAACACATACCGCTCTTTCTTCAATTGAGACAGGATCCTTCACATCATTCCAGAATATGGAAGTCCGGTCTCCACTCTCAAAAATCACACTGTATTGATCTCTACATTCTGTCTCTTCGAGCCAGTAACGTAAATTTCCCTAAAAAACCCCACGAAAACCCAAAAGCAAGAGATTTAGTAACACTTCATCAATGTTAATCCAAGAAAACTCACCCATAGCTACTCCTTTCAGAGGACAAATTTGGCAAGTATCTTTTTACTCCTAGCCACTCATGATCTCAAGATACCCAGCACTTCTGTTAGCTTAGATATAGATGGCACACACTTACCAGGTCTTTGAAAGGCTGTTTTTCTGGAATATCCCATTCGTCACTGATCATCATGTACCTGAAGGAGAGAGGACAAGTCCTAAGCAGTACCAATTGGTGACCATTTGGTGGTGACAGGGAGGGTACAATGTCAACAATCAGTGGTGCACACCCAGGCAACCCGGTTCCCCCTTTCCCTGCCCACAAGGGGACAGATAGAGGGACAGACAGAGGAGTGCTCAGCTGGTCTAAGTAATGGTGAGATGTCTGCTGGCCAGGAACACAGGGCACACAAGAAAGCACTACTCTTGTCTGACACTCTGAAAAGCCACCAACACCCATTGAGAGGCACATTCTTGAAGTCAAGTGTGAACTCACTTGTCAAAATCGGTCAAGAGGTTGACTCGGAACGTGTGCTGCTTGTCAAGCTTATAGCCATCAGCATTTTTCACAGCGTCCACAGCGTGGGCAGGAGATGCATATTCCAGGAAGATATACCTGAAGAAAGAAAGCAGGCAACATACACACATGCAGGCTGTCAGTTCAGGCAGGTCACACTACGTACACCAGAGACCTCACCCTGTAATGTACCTTACTACCCCGGCCCTGAGGCAATCAAATTGAATCATACCACAATCCACAGGCTGAGCAGCTTCTCAAACATGAATGCATCCTAACTGTGAGAGCCAGTGTAATCTCAGTCACAATTTAGAGGTTAACAAAAATGTGTGATTTTTTTTTTTTTTTTTTTGTGTGATAGCACTGGGGATGAAACCCAGGCACACAGGGCCTCTGCACTGAGTTACAACTTCAATCTTTTTTTATTGTTGAGACAGTAAGTATCTCACCAAGTTGCTTTAGCCTGGGCTTGTACTTATGATCCCCCTGCCTCAGTCTCTCAAGATAGCTAGGATTAAAAGGTTCTACCACCACATTTGTCTGAAAACATGTGTTAATCTGACTGAAGTTAGACTCATGATATTTATGTAAGTCAAAACTTAGCAACTTGTACACTTTAAACTATGCAAGTTTTTTGGCTATCAAGTACCTCATGGGGACTTTTAAAAGTAGCACATTATTAGTTAAGCATGGTGGTACACAATGGTAGTCCCAACACTTGAGAGGCTGAGGCAGAAGGATTGCCATGAGTTTGAGGCAGCCTGAGCTAGGTAGTGAGCTTATAGCCAGTCTGAACATATAGCCAGACCCCGCTTCAAAAAAAAAAAAAAAAAAAAAAAGAATTTGAGTTGAAGGTGTACGCAGCTCTGTGGCAGAGCATTTGCCTATCGTGCAGGACACTTGAGTTAAATCCCGAGCCACCAAAAAGCCACCAAACAAAATTGAATATTATCATTCTCATGTTCCCATGACGCCAACTCTGTGATCTCAAGAAGTCTCTGATGGTACTGGGAAGCAGCAAACCAGCTTCCATCAACTGCCAGCAATAGCTGCTCTGACCTGCGCTGCACTGGCCAGGGCATAAAGGGCATACACTGCACATGGCTCAACAATCTTGCTCTTAAATATGACAAAGAAGCTCTCACACTTGCACATGAACATGATGGATACAAGACTGCTTAGATGTCTACCAACAAGAAAATGAACACCTCACAGATAACAGAATACCAACAGCATGCACAATGGATCAAAGAAGGCTGGGGTTGTAGCTCAATGGTAGTGTGCTTGGCCAAGCATGTGCGAAGCATAGGTTTGATCCCTAGCACTGCAAACAAATAAACAAAAAATAGAATGAAAAAAAAAAAAAGAATGAAGAAGCTGGCCATGGTGGTACATGTCATTAATCCCAACACTCTAGCCTGCAAACTCAGTGAGACCCTGTCTAAAAATTTAAAAATTTTTAAAAAGGGTTGGGGATGTAGCTCAGGATGAAAGCCCTGGGTTTAAGCTATAGTACCACCAAAAAAAAAAAAAAAAAAAAAAAAAAAGCAGAATGAAATTTATCGATGTGCAAGATCTAATTTGTAAGAAAAAAGGCAAACTTCAGGTAACATATCTACATCACAATTTTTGGGGGGGACTAGGAATCGAACTCATGACCTCATGCTTGCCAGGGAGATACTTATTCCCAGCCCTTCTACAACCCCAATTTTAAAAGACACACTGCTACATTTTGCCAAGTAGTGAGAGTTGCTAATTAACTGGCAACATGACACTTTCACTTAAACTGTAGGATGCACTTCAATTTCAGAGATGTGGGAAGCCGCCTATGATGGCGCCCATTTCCTGCTTCCGGGTTCTTCCCGGCCTGAACAAGCCCGCCAAATTGTCATATCTGCCCAGTTACCCGTGACGCTAGCCTATCAGCTTGTTAGGCGCGCTTCTCTGTGGTTGGATACTGCTTCCCCTTATAAGAGGTTGTTCCTGCCCCCAACGGGCGGAAGAGGAATCAACGTTGAGGGTGGCGGACCTTGTTAGGTCCGGTTCGCTGTACGTAATAAAGTTTGAGAGCTGATCCTGCTCGAGTTTGGCCTCCTGTCTTCCGCGGCTCCGGTCATCTGGTGGCCCCCGTACGGGGAAAAAAAGACTCAGCGACGTGCCTCTTCGGCCCGGAGGTGCGATTGCTGTCGCCTGCGGTACGACGGAGGACCTGGCCCAATAACAACGGAAGGCCGCGAGCGCCTCTTCTCTTCACCCTGATCAGCTACGTGAGATACAGCGGTTCCCGGGACAGGTGAGTACTGGGTCACCTGGGTTGGGTGGACGCACCTAACAGATTTTGAGTGCCACACGAGTGGACGCTGGGTTTTTTTTTTCTTTCTTTTCTTTTCCCTTTGCATCTGTTTTGCTTTCGCTTCGCTAATATAGCCCGACAGGCTTTTGAGCTCGATCGGAATGCTCAGAGGAGCCCGGAGCCACTGCCGATTGTGGGTCTCCGGAGGACCCTCAGGGCTCTAATTCTGATTCGGATTCGGAAGGCTCAGAAGAGGAGGTCGTCTTTGCTAAGCATGACCCTCCTACACCGTTAAAAGAGGAACTTAGGGCTCGGAAAGATAACACCACCCTGCCCGAGCTACTCTGCCTTACGGGAGGAGCTTAAGCCCTTCCGCCCTTTGGCAAGTTCGCGACCCACGATCGCCCCTTTCAGGGCGCCAGGCCCCACTGCACCGCTGTGGCCGGAAGAGGAGTTGCTCCCTGGGCTGCCACCACAACCTATGGCACCGCCCTGGTTACACCGCTTCTCAGGTTATGTTTGCTTCGGCAGAACCTGGAGAAAGGGCCACCCATGCTATTAATCATTGTCTTGCAGCCTGGGCTGCTTGGGGAAAGCCCAATATATTAAAAACAGACAATGGTCCTGCTTACACCAGCAAAACTTTTGTACCCTCAAGGACAAGGCATCATTAAACGGGCACATCGGACACTCAAGGGTGTCTTACAAAAGCAAAAAGAGGGGATAGGCCACGGCCTAATGCCCAAAGGGAGAATATCATTGGCACTCTTTACCATAATCATTCCCCTGCCATGGAACATAGCAATCCGTCCCCAACCGACAAAGGGCTGGTTAGATGGAAAGATGTCCTTACAGGACAATGGATGGGCCCGGATCCAGTGATTAGCTGGACCCGAGGTGCGGTTTGTGTCTTCCCACAGGAACCAGGCTGCGAACCGCTGTGGGTCCCGGAAAGATTGATGCGAGCAGTAAACTCCCCACCAGTTCCTGATAAAGCACAGGAGGATA